CATTTTCAACCCCTGAAACAGAAACTGTATTTTTAGCTATTACCTCCCAACCTTCTACTCCTAACCCCACTCTCTAACCCTAAGCAACCACTAATCTATCTCTATGGATGTTCCTGCTCCAGACATTTCGTACGACTGGGATCGTGTGACATATGGTCTTTGTGACTGGCTTCCTTCAGTCAGCATAACGGACTTGAGGCTCACTCGTTTAAGGACTTTATTCCTTTTATGGCTGAATAGCATTCCACACCGCATTGTGTTTATCGATTTGGACATTGCTCAAGTCAGAAAACTGAAATTCTTGACACTGTCCACATTTCTAGTTCCACAGTCAATGAACTACATAATCCAGACAACCCTGTATAATGGTAATGGCAAAGTTTTAGAGCTTTCAATGATAAAAGTCCACTGTGACATGCATGCCATAGGTTCGCCAACAGCTGCTCTGTACGGTTCTCAAAGTGACACGTTATTTTATCTTTTCCATTGCCTCCACTTATTTCAAACTATGGGTTAAGGATTTATGAACCATTGCAAGATCTCAGCAGGTCTGAGTTCTTCCCTTGTTGCCTCTATTCCACATTTATTATGGTTATCTATTTTTAAATGTAAATCTGATCACATACCTTTTTCTTAAACTCCACTCATCTTTTGGTCATGAAGGAAGTGTGCTACTTCTCACCATGGAGTCTTTACTCTTCTTGTCCCATCACACAGACCCAAATTAACTTTCACTCACTCTGCTACTCAGGCTAAACTTCCTTGGTTGGCCAAACTTGAACAAGTTCCTATTAACTCAGTAATAAACATGTGGACCAGCGATATAGCTCAGAGGCACAAGTGCCTGCCTGACAAGCATGAGGTCCTGAGTTCGATTCCCAATACTAAACAATAATAATAATAATAGTGTCAGGTGTAGTGACACATGCTTGTAATCCCAGCATTCCATAGGCTGCAGCAGGACTGATGTGAGTTTGACATCAGCTGATGGCTACAAAATAAGTTCAAGAACAGCCTGAAATGCATAGGGAAATCCCATCTTGAAAAGAAAATAAAAAATAAACATGTAACAAAATACTTGATGTCAGCCTTTCCCACTAAACTATCAAGTTCTGAGGGGAAGAATCTCTTGATTTTTTCAACATTTTCCCATGTGTTCTATAAAACTGTCATTTTGACTCTGAGTGCATTTTTACTTCATTTTCTTGAAAAATAATTTAGATTTATCTTGAGATTGGGAGTGCAGATCAGTGGAACAGCACTGGCCTAGCTGAGTATGTGTAAAACCCTGGGTCTGATACCCAGCACATTAAAAAAGTGATCTTAAAATTAATTTTCACTGAGGAAGCAGCTTTAGAAAATAACTCATTTCCATTATTGTCCATTTTTATTTTCATTTTACAACTTGATCAATTATTTTTCAAGTAAACTTTAAAACAAAGATGTGATTCATCAGTTACCTTATGCATGATAGCTTTTATCAACCTGAGGGGAGTTTTTGTTGTTGTTTTATTAGTTTTTTTGAGACAGGGTCTTACTATGTAGTTCAAGCTGGCTTTGGACCCACTGGCAGACCTCAAACTCGGCAATCCTCTTGCCTCAGCCTCCTGTGTGCTAGGATTACAGGTGTGTGCCACCAAGCCACACTGCATAACTCAATTTTATCAAGATTGTATTAATCTACCAACACTTAACCAAGAATACCGACTAGTTTTTAGTTAAATTAGAAGCTGTCATGTGTTGTTTCTCCTGTTTTATCAAGCTTGATTTTCCCAGATAAAGTTTTAAATTTTTTAGCACTAGTAAAAAACATGTGAACCAGGTGTGATGGTGCACGGCTATAATCCCAACACTCAGGGAGGCTGACACAGGAGGACCATCACAAATTGGAGGTCCCCTGGGATACATAATGAATTCAAGGTCAGCCTGAACTACATGGTAAGAACCCATCTCAAAAAGAGAATAAATAAAACATGGATGCTTTGATCAGTTTTGTTTATCAGGACTGGAGACTGACCCATGGACCTTCACACCGCGCTCCACTGCCAACCTTTTTATTTTTTATTTTGAGAAAAGGTCTCGATGAGTCACTAAATTGCATAGGCAAGGTTCAAACTTGTGATTCTCCTGCCTCAGTTTCAAAGTGCTGAGATTAAAGGACCTTCACCAAAGCCAGCGTTTTATCAGTTTTTGAACTCTAAAACATTTTGTGATGTGTAATTTTAGCCAATTTTAATTAGTTTTCTTTTTATATTTTCTTACAGGTAAAGTCATTATACACTGAATAAAAAATGATGGTGCTTTCTACATTTTAAAAACTTGCTCTGTTTTTTACTAGGTTATCCAAGAGAAGAAATAATTCCCCTTTAAATAGTTCATGATTTGCCCTACGACAGGGGCAAAAGGAATGTCTCACCAAAATGGCTGGGAAAAACACCCGGTATCAAAAAATACCCTGAGAATACTCTGTTGTATTCTCAGGATCTAAAAGATGACTGTTATGTCTAAGACATTCCACACTCACTCCCCCCAAAACAGCTAAATAGTACAAAAGATAATTCTGAAAAATCAGAAATTCCTTATAGTTAACTTTGAAAGAGCCTGACTCTCAGGCTTATATATACTCTTTCTTTTACAGAACAGCAGAGCAAATTGTGGAGCCAGACTGCCAGAGTAAGTCTTGAGTCTGCCACTGATTAACTAGATGACCCTGAACAAAGTGCTTAACCACTTCCTGCCAGTTTATGACTCTATAAAATGAAAGTAATACTACTGCCTAACAGACTTAGGAGCATTAGTTTAGCAAATTGAAGATCCTTGGCAATATGGGATCATGGAACATAACCTCCAAGATCTAGCCAACTTACATTATAGAAAATACTGACTAATTTACTATGTTCCAAATTAAACATAAGAAATTTTCAAGCTAATAATTTTAACCTAATCAATCAATCTCTCCACCCTGTAAGAATATTCCCAGGTAGTTTGCACAAGCAAGAGACTTGAAGGCCTACCAGCAAGATTCACAAAGTAAGAATGCTTAAAACCATATTTTAAGATAATGTCACTTAATACTGCTAATAATGGGTACTATCATCTTAATGATTTCAAAGCAATAACATTATATATTCCATAAACCCAAGCCTTTAATAATCTTTTGTGCCTTAGTAATTCTAAATACACAAGTTGTTTCAATAGTTCAATGAAACTTACAATGTGTTATATGATCAAATTCAATATAAACGCTCCTCAGACTGTTTTTTGTGGTTTAAAATTACCAAAACATGCCAGAACTTTTAATATGCATTAACATACATTCAACATAAATTTAAGATTGAAGGTTTTTATTACACTAAAAAATATACAAATATCTAATACGATCCCTTCAAATTGAATTGTTTTATCCAATTTTAAAAATGAATGTCAATTAAGCATATGTATCATTATATATAAAATGAACTCAGAAGGTTTTTTTTTTTTTTTTTTTTTTGTCTTTTTCCTTTTTATCGGTACCAGGGATCGAACTCACGACTGCCTGCTTTCAACGCAGGCGCTTATGCCGCTGAGCTAAACCCCCAGCCCCTTAGAAGGTATTTCTTTGCATTAAAGATAATTTTCAGAATGACTATACATGTCAAATAAACTCATAACTTCTGATGAAAGAAAAAATGATCCAATTATCTTCTTAAAGATTAAATGCATATATTCCCTAATCTAGCCTTGTGTCCACAATAAACTTGTACAAGAGTATTCATAAAATTTTATATGAAATTGACAAAATCTGGAAACTGCCCAGAGGTCCATCAAAAATAAATGGATAACCAGTGAATTTATACAAATGAATACTACTCAGCAATAAAAAGTAATGAACCACTCAAGAGAATAGATAAAAACAGATGAGTATTAAAGACATTAAGATGAGGAAGAAAGTATATACACCATGATTCCAATCACATAAAGTTCTCAAACAGGCAGACTTATCTAAAATTTTTAAGCAATCAAAACAGTGGTTCCTTGAGGTCCCGGGGGACTGCTTAGGAACTTTCCATCTTCCCACCCCACAACGCCCCATACTCTCACTGACTACGGGAAATAAACCTAGGACCGCACATATGCTAGGAGATTTCTCTACCCTGAGCTACATCTATAGCCATTTTGTTTCTTGGACTTTTTTTTTTTTTTTTTTTTTGGTGGTTTGATGTTTTATTTTGTTTTGTTTTGTTTTTTTGAGACAAGATCTCACCACGCAATTCAGGCTGACACAGAATTCATTATTCCCAGGCCGGCCTTGAACTCATGGTAGAATTCTTGGTGATTCTCCTGCCTCAGGATCCTGCCAGTTCTGGGATTGCAGGCATGCACCACTATGCCCAGCCTCATTCTAAATCTTGACACAAGTTTGAGCAACAAACAATAGTGCATTTAAGATTTGCGCATTTCACTGTACATTTCACTGTACAAATACTGAACTACAGTTAATAATACATGTGCTGAAGTACTAAGGTATAAACTAGTCCAGCTCTCCAACATGTTGTATTATTTTTTTTTGTTATGCTTTGTTTTGTTTTTTGAGACAAAGGCTTGCTATGTAGTTCAGGTTAGCCTTGAACTCACTATGTAGCTCTCTGGCCTCAAACTCAAAGCATTCACAGCAATCCTCTTGTCTTAGCCTCCCATGTGCTGGAATTACCAGTGTGCAACATTTTTTAAAATCACCTGTTCTCTTCAATAATGATGAGATGGATACACAGATGGATAAATATGTAATTAAGCATAATTAATGTAACAAAACAATTGCAAAACTCAGGTGGTAGATACATGAATATTTACTATGGAATGCTTTCAACTTTTTCTGTATACTTCTTCAGATGTTGAGGGTAAAAATCTTTATAACAGAGGTGAATTTACACATAACTGTAAAACACAAAAGAGCAAATAAAGTAAAATTTTAATGATATATCCACTTTACCTTAAATTGCTTGAGCTGACTTAAATGGTAATTTATTAGCATATTTATTTATTTTGTGTTCCACTATTTACAAAGCAATTTAAAACTTTAAATAAATGATACAATTTTAGATTATAACCATTAGTTTTAATCAACTTAAAAGATACATAAAAATACATTAAATAATACCTCGAAGTATATACAAAAACACGATTCTGTTAATGTTTAGTTAGGTTGTATATTTTACAAATTCACTTATGCAACCACATTTTATTTAATTATGTTTATTTATAATTAAGTTCACCACTGAGTATTTGATTTTGAGAATTTGTAGATCTTAACATCTGAAAACAGAAATGTATTATGAGACATAAGATACATTTGGTATCTATTACAATACGACCACCTAAATAAATTCCATCATACCTCATCAAAAAGTTTACTGCTATTGTACTGAATTCTTTGTCCTATGGCAACAAAAGGAGTAAAGTACAATGCATTATCAGGTACTTAAAAGAACATATATTAACAAGTCATTTATTTAACCACCATCAACAATATGTATCAAATACAATGTATTGCACTCTAAGATATTTAAACATCTAAAATTTGACATTATTGCCAAAAAAGGCACATGGAAAATAATTAAACATTTTCATGTACGTAAAGATAGAAGAATTTCAAAAATGAACATCAAGTTGCTCATTATACAAAATAAAAAAATGTAATTTGACTATTTCAAGAAAGCTTTCATTTTTTAGAAATAAAAAAGGTTTAACTTTTTCAGAATGCCATTATAAATCATACTTTATTAAGAAAACTGTAAGTCACAATAATAACATTCATTTAAGTTTATATCTGTAAGAGAAAGGAAGGTAGCAAAAGTAACCTAAACACTATCTAAATTACTTATGTATTCAATGATGTTTTGACTTTTTCAAATTCAAAATACTTCTACAGAATCAATCCTAAAATAAAAATAAAATTACTCTATTTTCCCATGTACATTTTGTACATAAGCTCTCAGTTTTCTATGATATGCAGGATTCTGGAAGTGTCAATGTATATTCCATTGCTCCTACCTGAATTTACTCTACTATATTCCTATTTAAACTTATCCTCAGCAAAAATTACAAGTTGAGTTGGTAAGCAGTCCCCAAACTCAAGTATGAATATATTTTTTAAAAAGGGAATAATCAGACATGATGATGGTGCATGCCGGTAATCCCAGCACTTGGGAGGCTGAAACAGGAGGATCGCTGTAAATTCAAAGCTAGTCTGGATTACACAAAGTGAATTCAAAGCCTGGCTGATAGGGGCCAGGGATTTAGCTCAGTGGTGTAAATGCCTGACTGGCAAGCACAAAGTTGCAAAGTCATGAGTTTGATCCCTGGTACCAAAAAAAAAAAGAAAACTGTCAACGCCTGGTTGAACCACATAGCCAGTCCCTACTTCAAATAAATGAACAAATAAATAAAGAGAACAGTTTAGCTCAGAATTTCCATAACATGCTCTGCAAGACAGTAAACAGATTCTAAAAAGGATTCTGTGGTCAAATTAGCAATTTCTTTAAACCAAAATTTACTATAAATTGCTTTATGGTAATCATGGTTGCATGAATGAAGTGGTGAGAATGGAGGAGGATTATATTCATTTAAACTTTTGCCAAATAAAATTAGACAAGACTGACTCAGAAAAATTGCTGCAGTAAACACTGCAATGAATTCTGGTGTCTAAAAACAAGTAAAAATGAGATTTTTCATCTTATACAGCCCCTGATGCTAGTGAGTAGGACACGTGCCACAACCAAAGACACAGCAAGCTTAAACAATGTCAGGTAAAAATGATTGCAGCAAATTATGTATACACTATTATATGCGCAGCAAAGGACTTCTCAAAGGCAACTGTGTATATACATAAATTTTCTACCTTTCACACTGATTCAGAATCAAACCATCAAAAAAGATACATGCACTTTTTTGAACACAGAACTGTTTTGTAGAAATACCTCACAGAATTAATAGTACACAATACACACTCTGGAAAACTTATTTCATTGTATAAAGTAAACACTCAAGTTGAACATTGTCAATTTTAAGTGGTAGAATTTTGAAATTATAATACAAATTAAATTTTGTACAGTAATTTGCTTTCAATAATTTGAAAAAGTTAAAGCTTTCTACAGTATTTACTAGAATCATATAATAAAAATATTACCTCAATTTGGAAGATTCATTACACTCAAAGCAAAGTCACAGGTCAAATTAAAAAGATAAAATTATCAAAGGAATATATGTTCAAGACATTTTTATAATAAAAATCTAACAGCAGATATAAAAATGCTCTATTAATTTAACAAATGAAGTTACATAATCAACAGGCTAAAATAGTAGCCATGAGAATTCCCTTTATTTTTTTCTATTTCTACAGTCATTAAATTTCTGATTTAACTTTCTCTCAGTACTACAATGTGTATTCTTAAATGTGACTATAATACTGTAAGAACCAGCTTTAATCATATCTTCATACTCAAGAGCCATCCATCAATAGCTACCTACCATACATTCAGCTGTCTGGCTCCTTAAAAGCAGAATTTAATGCAAGCTATAATCTGGCCTCAACCAACACCCAAGCTGATATCTCTCAGTTCACTTTCACCTACTTTGCTTTTCTGCAAAAATTTTTGAGATTCTAGCCTAATTTAGGCAACACAGTAAATTCTGATTACTCTATTGCATTGCTCTCAAAGTTTAGCTAGCTTCAGGATCTCTGAAAGGGGACAGGTCCCATCTCCAGAGCTTCTGATTCAACTGGAATAAATGTAATTTCTAACTAGTTCTCAAGTGATGCTGCTGCTGCTCCAGATCTATACTTGTGAACACTGCTCTACTTTAAAGGCCACACACTGAAGGCTCTCTGGGAAATGAGGCCCACTCCATGGTCTGTGCAGTGTTTGAAAATCATTTTTCCATTACTTGTAAGCATTTTTAAATTAGAAATTTTTTTCACATAAAATGCAGACACCTGGCTATATGTAAAATTTCTGCATGAGTTCAACAGAAACAAACCCATTTAGTCTACAGAGATGTCCTAGTCCAGGTTATCAAATTAGCTATCTCTACACTCACTTGAAATCATTTGGTTAGCAGAATATTTGTACTTGCATACACTGATCCACCTTTTGCTGTTCTCTTTGTCTTTTTTCAAGTTCTCATCGATTTCAAACACCCTTTTGCCCCAATATTGCTGAAACTCTACCTTACCCCTTCCAAAGCTTGGCTTAAAATCCCTCAACAAGATTCCAGCAAATATGGAAACCCTTAACAAGTACACACATTAAAAGTTAATCGTAACTTTACATATGTATGCTCGAAAATTCAATGTTTTATTTACACAAATACTAAAATAGCAATATTTATCCCTAAAGGCTACCAGATTATACCATAAACTATAAACAGTTTGAATCTTTGCTATTTTCAATCGAAGTTAAGATTTTCATCTTTTTATTCTGACTTTTACTGTGAAAAAAACCTTCCCTAGAATAAGGCATTTAAAATAAAGACACAACCTTAAACCACACCATCAAAATATGCAATAGCATTGGGCCAAGGGTATGGGACAGCACTTGCCTAGTATCTGCAGGGCCTGGTTTAACCCTTAGCACCAAACATAAATGAATATATATGTATAAGATATAAGTAAATATACTACATGTATACATACATTATATACATACATAAAATGCATGTGTACATAAGTAAATGTCTAAGTACATACATGTACATATGTGTATCTAAGTGTATGTCTTAAATATATACACTTAAGTTAATTAAAGATAATAAAGAGGAGAATCAGGTGTGGGGGCACATGTCTATAATCCTAGTATTTAAAGGCTGAGGCAGGAAGACAGCTTTGAGTTGGAGCCCTGCCTGGCTACATACTGAACTCATGGCCAGCCTGAACTACATAGTGATACCCTATCTCAAGAAAATAAAAATATTCCCAGTAGTCAGGAGGCTGTGGCAGGAGGATCACTGCAAGTTCAAGACCAGCCTGGTCTACAAAGTGAGCTCAAGGCCAGCCTGAACTGCATGGTGAGACCCTGTCTCAAAAAGACAAAAATAAATATATAAATAAAAAACAAAAGAGAAGGCGTAATGATATAATTCCCTTGATTTCATAATATAACAATCTATAAAGCAATTTTAATGAAATAAAATGCTAACGTCCTTGTTCTGTTGTGCTTCTGTTACTAAGTTTTCCGTAGACCTCACCTTTTTTAAACTCAAAATGTGGTGAGAAAAGTCTTTTATACATATCTTCCACCTTGAAAATCTAGGATGTAGTTCTTCAAAAATGCAAACAGTAAAAAGGTCCATACCGATAAACTTATTAAATTAGTACAGCTTCTAAACTGCACTGATTTGAAACCCTTTCATCACAAGCTGATCATGGTGGGCATGCCTGCAATCCCAGCACTCACAAGGCTGAAACAAAAGAATCAAAAGTTTGAGGCCAACATCATAAACTCGTAACAAGCCTGGGCTACATAGCAAGGTCTTGTCTCAAAAAAAAACAAAAGAAAACCTAAACCAAAATATTTTAATTATACCTTTCAAAGTTCTACCTAAAAGTGCTAAAGACTCAGAACTTCGAAATAAAATGTTTGTATAAATTTCGTGTGTATTCTAATGATGAAAATTTTTTTAAAACCTCTTGTAAAGCTAACAACTAAATATATTAGGAAAAAAACCACAGAGAAGACAATGAAAACTATTACTAGAGAGACCAATCAGCAAGCCTGAACATCTAAAAAGAATATTAAATTTAAAAACCATGTCAAAAAAACTGTTCACAACAGATACCAGCATTTTTTAAAAACATGCATTCTATTTCGGTGTATTCCCAAATTACAGTAAATTTGGCCAAAATTAAATTATCTAATTGTAAGGCTGCAAAAAATATCTTAGAGACTATTATATTCAGGTAGATCATGTCGTAAGCGAATTGCTTTCAGTTTCTCCACTTCAATTTTTGCTCTCAGCAGCTCTTCCTCTAGCTGCTGCCTTCTCTTCAATCCATCTCTCTTCTCCTGAACATACAATCCAAAATTTTTTTGATTTTCTAAAATTATCTGATGTTCCTCTCTCAACATTTGCAGGACCTGAGGATCATACCCTGATAGTGACCTAATGTGTTCTCCACTCTCATGCCGAAAAAAATCCTCTCTCCTTGGAAGAGAAGATGGAGACGATGTCATTCTCATATCAACAGAGGAAAGTGATGGTGATAAAGATCTTTCCATAACATGTATTAATTCATGTTCTTCTCTTTGCTCTAAAGTATTACTAGATTGAGGATTTAAAACCAGTGGAGGAGGTGGTTTAATATCTTCTTCTTGCTTTACCTCCACTGTAATAGCAACAGGATGGTGATCCAACATTACCTGTAGTGAACTGGTACCAGCTTGTGCAGCCTCATCCAAGTTTGCACTATAGCACATAAAAAAAGCATTATAAAATGTAAATCAAATGAACAGTACAATAAAATAATTTTGTATTGAATACACATTATATTATAAAGCTATAACAAAAAATATGAAACAAAAGTTGAATCCTGAGATCAACAGGTGAAAAATGTTAAGATTAAAATTAAGGTGTGAAAAATAAAAACATATAGGTCTACTGTATCCTTAACCTTTTCTTTAGTTTTGCTCTGTGGTGTTGCAGATTGAGCCCAGGTCCTATAGCATGCCAGACAAGTGTTCTACCACTCAGTATATCCCTTAGTCATCCATCCTTAACTTTATAATTAGGCTTTTAAAATTACAGGAAATTACAAGTATTTCAAAAGGCTAATGAGGTAAATAAATAAGAAAATTCATTTTTAATTTCCTCAAAGAAATATCAATTATTTCTACAATCTTTCTTAAATCAGTTCTTAAATTGTATAAAGGGATATTTCTTTTAGTCTGGCCCTGGCTATCGCTATCCCCACACCTTAGCTTTAGACCTCCTGCCTCTGTTCTCCAAGAGTCATCTAAAAAGTCAAGACCATAAGCTCTAAGAAAGTATAGAAAACCATCTATGGAAGGTACTGTTTTCTGAATTTGCCCAAATATTATATATGGTTTGGGAGAACGGCCAAATATCTAGGAATTAGCCTAGTTATCCAATTTCAGATAGGATGGCATTTCTCCCTTAGCTATCCTGATCTTGGTTATGAGTTAAAGTTCACAGAAGCAAGGGCTTTTGTCCATCACTACCTACCCTAGCATAATAGAGCACTGTACTTAAAACATAGTAGTGCTAACTATATGCTGAATACATAAATGAACAAATAAAATGATTTTTAAGTATGCTGTTTCTAAATGCCTTAGATAAATGAAGTTTATTAAATTTATTAAATTTATAAGAACACTCACAGCATATACATTCCTAATACAGCCAACAAAAGTTTTAGCGTTATTTAAAACTTTGGCATCATTTGTTTTGATTTTATAAACACAATGTACTTTAAAATTCTGTTTTTAAAAAAAAATAGTTTCATGTGTAATTGAACCTATTAACAATATATAATCATTCTTTAGTTTTCGTCTCAATTTATACTTCTGCCTACCTTAGAAATAGAAGTTACAGGGGGAAAAGAGATTATTGGGATATTAATAAAAGCATGTGAGCATTATTTAGAGGACATTTTATAAATGATAAATAACATCATTAACAATACATTCTACTTAGAAGATTTTAAAATGCTGAAATAAGTTCAAGTACAACATAAGGGAAAAATTAAAACTCCTCATATGTTACTATTGGCACTAAATTGTCAGTAATAACGTATTTGCCTAAGAGATAATAATAAAAAACCTCAGTAAGATATACAGAGAACATATGGTAAACTCTTTGTAGATTATATAAATTCTTTTGTTTTTGTTCTTGTCTTTATTTGTCATTTTATGTTTTCTAAAGACAAAACAATGGTCTATAAATGTAATTCAAATTAGCAAAATTCTCTTCTATTAACATTCCCACTAATGGGAATGGAAAAAGATTAGAGATAGATGAAAGTTTTTTAAAACTCTAATTATTATTGCAAATTACTACACAGAGCATAAACACAGATATTATATACCCAAGTAAATTAAAAATATGCTTATATCTGGAATATTCCATTATATTTTAGTTAAAAATTACAAGGCATAACAATTTTTTTTAAAAAGCTTTAGACAAGATCACAAAAATGATAAAGGACTTGTAAATTGATGAATCTAAACAGGATCAAAGAGGTTACAAAAATAAAGTATAATCTGATATTAGAAAGAAAATAAAGACATAATATGTTATAGAACTAGATTACAAAAGTTATTCATCTTTAAATAAATTAAGTAATCCAAGAGTAGTATTTCCTTATAAAGAAGCAATTGATGAGACTGTTATATTTAATTAGAAACAATTAAGAATACAGAATAACTATAAACTTCTGAGTAATTATTAAGATTCAAGATGTCAACTGAGTAAGTATAAGTGCATTAAAGATATAAGCATATTTAATGAGTATATTAATATGGAGAACACACCAGTGTAGATACTACTATAGGTAAGAATTTAAATGTTAGGTTTCCTGTATTTTTTCTCTTCAAAAACCAAAAACACTATTATTATTTAAATAATAGGTAAAGAAATGCATAAATCACTTATAATCCATTTTTATCACAGAAATACTGGTGTCCTAAAAATTTTGTGTACAAATATAATATAGGTATTCACACAAATGGTCAAAATGTAAAACTACTTGCATATTTATTTCTCTTCTATACTCACTATATTTTTAAAACACGCAACTATCTAAAATTAAACCCTGAGCAACTACTTTAAAAACATGTAATGTATTAACTATTGTTATTCTATTATTTTGGTTAAGAAATTTTGTTTTATCGTTCTTCCATAAAATAAAAAATAAAACTAAAGTCTCTATGAGTGGTTTTCAAATTATAAAAATCTTAATAACCAAAAGATAGTTTTATATCTGTAATGTAAAAGCCGTATTTCCCCATAGATTTTTTGAGGGGCATATAGTGGAAATTTTAAATAAGCAGAACAACATGAAACAATTTTCCTGGGGAGTTTACTCTACATCCAGTATATTACATTCTCATCATCTGTCATCGGTGAACAATTTAATCAGTGGTCTCAAATATTAATCCACTATGCATCCATATCTTGGATCCCACTGGCAATATTTTTTTTCTGCACTGTTTTAACAGAAATAAGCGGTTATGCTAAGAAGCTGGGCTCAAAAATATTTTCCTAGTAAGCTACAAAAATAACAGCTGTATTTGGCTAAAAAGTTTTTTCTCCTGTTTCTTGACTAAATTCAAAGAAATTTCACAGGTAATCAATAACTTTGCTTATATTCTACCAGTAAGAAAGCACACCGTGTAAAGCTTTGTTTGAAAGGCCCCACAGCCAACACGGAGTTTACAGTTTGTTTATATTACCCTAAAAGGTTCAGAAGAATGTAGCTGCCATTTTTTATCTTCTGCCAAGAGTAGAAATTTGAATTAGCAGTAAGATAACATTTTGAAGATTCCCAGGTAAATATTAGTTATACAGAGCACATATTTAATCCAAAAATTACTTCTAACCCTGTAAGAACTCGGTTGCTAAGATGGGTATGTTAAAATTCATAATTTGATACCCTTTCAAGGCAGTAAAGAAACCTTAACTTTCCTGTCTGATGCAAGTCCAAAGTGAAACCATACTATTAATGAATTAAAAACAAAAAGTTTTAGTTTTATTAAATAATGTTAATTTCTAATTAATTCCCTAGAGTTGTGTTCATCTTATTTTAAATGTTATAAAAAAATTTAACCTGTTTTCATATAATTATATCATTAATAACTTTACTTCATTGTTGATTTTAGTTCTGTTAGTTCAATTCAGTTAAGTGCAGTTTGACAATTCACAAAAAAGCATTCCATTTCTCTGCCACTGTTAACTTGATATACTTTATATAAAATTCAAACATCCAATTAAAAACCTTAAATAAGGAAAAGTAGCTCTCTGAAGCAAATTAAATCATTTTGAGCTTAAAAAGTTTATGAAGTAATGTCACAAATTTCATCCCATTTATTCTTCCTAACCTTTACTTTTCAGAAATTATAGAAGGGAAGGAGAAGACAAGACAGTTAAAAAGTGGCTTAAATCAAATGCAGCAGAAAAATTCCTTATAGTCTCACTTTTCTTTTTTTAAGAAAGCAAAACAAAGACACTATTCACTGCTCCCGTTGTGGGGATGCTTACTATGCATATCTCTATCACAGCTAAGCCAAAGCCCAATAGATAGGAGGCGCCATAATTTTCCACAACAAAATAAAATAAAGCTTACCTTTGTATGTGGTTCCTGTCTCTTACCAGGCAAAAACTGGAAATCTGGGGAATCATCTCCATAACTTTCTTGGTTGGCTCAGAAATATTGCTTTTAAAATCTGATTGGGCCTCTTTTTGCTGCAATAGCTCCTGTTTGGCATATTCTTTGAGCCTTTTGTAAAGGGTTCGTAGGCCCTGTGCTGTTCGAGGAGGGCGGTCTACTCCAATTGCATTATAGTTAACTGCTATGATATCCCAACATCTATTCTTTTCCACTATTACTGAATGTTTATTAGTGTGTTCTTCGAGAATTTTCACATATGGCTTCACAAGCTTTAGTAAATCAAGCTTTTCAGATAAGGTAAAATTGGAAGATCTAGCCTTTCCTACCATTGTTCTTTTCAAATTAAGTAGGCAGTATCTGAAAACACCACGCAGCTTTCAGCTCTGTTCAGCTCTTTTCACAAACAGAAAAAAGATCAGGCTTAACTAGGCTAGCCTCATTTAGGCCCACGCCTACAGGGGAGGGTTTATTAAAATTCCTCCAGCTTAAGCTGACGCAGGTTCAGGAAATCTGCTTAAACCAAGCCTGACCTACATAAAGCTTCTCACTGAAGACCGGAAGGCACAAGCAAAACACACTTGTGTCTGGAGAGAACCGCTCGAGATAGGATTTAATGCACAAAGGTCTAGAGATAAGCATGGAACACAGCTAAAAATTAGCTAATTTAGTGAGAATATCGAATTTCCACACATGTATATCTGGCTGTTAGACTGAAACTGCAGTGCAGTTATCACTTTAACAAAAACAAAGGAAGAACTGTTTTGTGCTATTTGTTTACAAATTCAGTGGACAAAAAAACTAAAATATATGAGTGGTGAAAGCAAGGATTTCTAACCGAGATCTAATCACAGTTTCTGAGCTGGGTGTTCTCCCAGACAGAATCTGCATAATGCTGGTTCTGCTGTCAATCAGGAATTGCATATCCTCTAGCTAGTTAGGTTACACCCAGCTCAGACTACCGTAAACCTAAACTGCTTGCTCCTTCATTTTACAGTCTACATTCGCCCCTGCATATTTTTAGGTATTTAAGAAGTTCTTCTTGAACACTACCTCTAAAATCCACATAAAACATTACACTTCAAAAGCAATGGATTATTCTAGTTGAATACCGTGTGAATATACCAACATGCTTGATCATGTGTTATAAAAAAGCAGGATTTTTTTATGTAGCCATAACCACACAGCCTGGACTACAAAGGAAACACACCCAATCTAGCCATTTGCAAAACCATCCGTTTCCTTGCTAGACCCAGTCTGAAAACATGATAAATAATATAAACAAAACAAATCTACTTCCTCATAATATACATGTTTTTCCACTTAGGATATTAATTAAAAGCATGCTTAAACGTGTTCAATTCAATCAATCAATTATCAAACACCTACAAAAATACTCCCAAACACCATGCAAGGCCCAAGGAAAAGGTTAGGGTCACTCTAGATACATCTATTTAGCTACAGAAATATTATAAATTCTCAATTACCTTGTTTTCATTCTCTTAGTAAAAAAAATTTCATTCACTTAAATCTACATTAAGTGTCACTTTGAACCAGACAATATGCCATAAGTTTCAACTACATTATGTCACGGGAAAAAAAGTAAGATTGCTGTAGGTTCTGTAGAACCTGTTGCCTGGCATACCCTACTGGATGATCTGATGCTGTAATAGTCTCAGTCTCCTACTGCCTTTGTGCAGTTTTACATCTCACTAAATTCTAGAAAATTACCCTAGGTTGAGTAAACCTTATCCAAAATATTTGGCACTAAAACCATCTCAGGTTTCCATTTTCTTCAGATTTTAGAATATGTGCACATATATGATAAGGGATGGAACTAAAGTCCAAACACAACATTCATTTCTGTTTCATATATAGCTTTTTATATACATAGCCTAAAAGTAATTTCAAGCACAACAGTCAGTGCAAGTGATTCAAGTATGGAATTTTCTAGTTGGGAGACATTATGTCAGTGTAGAAGACAGTGAATTAGATAACAAGGTAGCTAGCTAGGGGAAAGGCCTGAGACAAAGGTGGAGTGTTATCACCCCTACAGACACGCTGCACCCTCCCATCAGAAGCCTAGAGAATGGGCTGCATTCCAGGGTGCCTGACAGTGAATTTCCCTGGGCAGCCTGGAATGCAGCCTACTCCCTACTAAGCTCCTGATGGGAGGGTGTAATCACTCCCTACTAAGATTCCGGATTCTGAGGAAGTTATAACAGCAATTAATCATTTCCTTCTGAGACCCAGTATACTATAAACATTGTGTGAAAGAACTAGGCTCCAGAGCTTGAACCCCAATGGGTCACGTAAATCCAGACTCACCTATGATAGGTGACCACTAAACAATGGAGCAATTCTTGTGCCCTACTTGCCTATACATAATTCTGAATTGAGAGGCCATGTGGCAACCAACTCAGGACCCCTTCCTGTCTCTCACGAGCTATTTCTGTTCTCTAATTAACCTTTCTTACTCTTACCTTCCTTTATCCTTCACAATTCATCTTCACTTTCAGGGGACACAAACTCGGCAGGTCCAGAGTAACATTTCCTACTGTATCATCAGCATTTTCAAAAGTTTCAAATTTTGGAGCACTTCAAGTGCTCAACTTGTGCTAAGGCAAAAGGTGCTCTACGTAGATGTTTTTGAGGGTTTCCTTGAGATTTGTACAACATACAAGACACACACACCAAAAGGAGCATGCGATGGTGACTTTTCTCACTGTAGTGTACCCTGTTTTCTCTAGGGTGTCCTTTTGTCTTGATGTTTCTCCGTTTTATTTGGCTCAACCTTGCTCTGCAGAGCCAGTTTCTCTCTCACTCTTCACTCACTTTCTCAAATAAACTTGGCCACTGCTTTTTGCTCATTTTGTTCAATTCTTTTTCCCAAAGGAGAAGAACCTGGAATCTAACTCTGAAAGAAAAAGCGAGCAACCCAGAACCCAGTAACGTTTACTTGGCAAGTTACTTTTTTTTTGTTTGTTTGTTTTTTTTTTTTTTGTCTTTCTCATTTTTATCGGTACCAGGGATCGAACTCACGACTGCCTGCTTGCAAGGCAGGCGCTTATGCCGCTGAGCTAAATCCCCAGCCCCTTGGCAAGTTACTTTTAGAAGGAGCTGCCCAATAACAATACCAAGAGCTATTATATCCACAGCCCTCTATGAACTGTTCTTATGGGAAAAGCATTATGAGTATTCAAAGTATTTCTATAGTTGAGGATACCCTCCAATAAACACAAGGTAAGGATTATAAGCCTTATTAATCTTTGTCAGCCCATTTCTCTGAAAAAAAAAACCTAATTAAAAATGCCTGTGCTTTCCTTGAGAGGAGGCTACAGATAAGGTAAACTGAGGCAAAGAACTAGGTAAAGTGATGCAAAGTACTGACTACTACTTTATATAAACTACATAAAGATATAGGTCACTTGGCAGGTGTATCCAATTGGTATCTCCTAGGAACATTTTCTGATAGGCAGAGAAAAGAAATCATATTTCAGAGTAAGTAAGAGGAAAAAGAGAAATTTATCTGACAAGTTCTTTTCTGTCTCCTCTTTCCCATTAGTCAAAGCTTCAGTGCTATTATTCTGTGATGTTAAGTAATCAAAAAAAAAAAAAAAAAAACCCAGGATTCAGGGATCTTCAGGGAAATCCTTCACAAAATTTAAGTCAAATTAAAAAATTTACTCCCTCTATTCTAACTGAATCACAGGCCTCTAGACAATCTAAACTTAGATATACCTCAGAATAGCGCCCAGTTATCTATTAAGGATTTCTAATCAAGTCCTGTCCTTGGCACAAAAATATTTTGAGCTAAAGAAGTCTGCTTCAGAAACTAGTTGGCAAAAATCTGGCCTCAGACTGGGGCTGGTGGTGCATGCCTGTAATCCCAGCACTCCAGAGGCTGAAGCAGAACAGCTGTGAGTTTGAGCCCAGCCTGGGCTACAGAGTAAGCCTGAACTACACAACAAGATCCTAGAGAAAAAAGAAAAGAAAAGGCAGGCAAACTGGGCCCTTAGTTAAATGTTATGTACTGGAGAAATTGCTAACCTATTTTCTAGCTATTTCATCAAACATTTTATCAGTACAGATAATATAATAATAGTTGTTTCACAACATCTATACCACTCTGTTAGACAGCAATATTGGAGTAAAATAACTCCCACTTCTAAAAAAGGAGACAGACGGTTTGTGCCTCACTGGGTCAGGGAAGATTAATGGTTTCAATTCACCAATCAAAAGAAACAGACTGGCAGGATTGATCAGGAAGCAAGATCCAACAATATGTGCATAAAAGAAACACACTGAATTCAAAAAGAAATTCATGGACTGAAAATCAAATGATGGGCAGCAAGAACCCACAACAAGCAGGGGTAACTATTCTATTTAGTTAGCAAACAAAGTGGATTTCAAGTCAATATTGAAGGGACAAAGAAGGTCACTACATCCTTATAAATGGAACAATCCAAGAGGAAGATATAACAATCATAAGTTTTATGCAACAGACAACAGTGCACCCAATCATATAAAACAAACATTAATGAACATTAAAAAAAATCAAATAAACACTAAAACAACTGTTTTGCAGGATCTCAGTAGTCCACTGTCACAACTAAGATCAAGTAGACAAAAAATCAACAATGAAATGTTAGAAATGAATCAAACTTCTGCACAAATGGACTTACGAGATGTCTACAGTGTTTCATCTCAAATCATCAGAAAACACATTCTTCTCACCTGCACATGAGACATTCTCCAAAACAGACCACATACTAGCTCATAGACCATTCTTTAACTAAATGCAAAGGAACTGAAATTATCTCATGTATATACTATCAGACCATAGTGCAATGAAATTGGAAATCAATGGCAAAAAAAACTACAAGAACTTCATGAACACCTGGAAATCAAATAATATCCTCCTGAACAACCAATGAGTCACAGATGAAATTAAAGAAGAAGCTAGACACTTTCTACAATTAAACAAGAATACCAGTACAAAACACTGGAACTGCTTGGGATTTAGCTCAGTGGCATAAGCACCTGCCTGGCAAGCATTAAGTCACTAGTTCAATCTCCAGTACAAAAAAAAAAAAAAACCTGGAACTTATGGTATACAATGAAACCAGTCCTACCTAACCAGGGAAATTACAGCAGTGAATTCTCATATCAAGAAAACAGAGTGGCAAGCCATGCAGGGTTCAGAAAGAAAAAGCTAGCACCTCCTGACAATCAGCCATGCTGGGCCTGGGAGGAGCTAAACTAGAAGTCAACCAGCCAGCCTTTCTAGTAAATTGCACAAGCCATGGTGGAGTCCAGAAACAGAAAAGTCAGCACCTCCCATGAGCCCACCTGCACACAGGCTGAAAATCAATCCCTAACCTCTCCCACACCCATCCCCTCCATAAGCAACTGGCTGGTTCAGACAACAGACTGAGTTAACAGCAACTGAACAAAAAAAGCAACTAAATGCTTGTATTTTTTGGTTGATTTTGCAGGCCTGGGGCCAGCAGCCTAAGCATCTATTGGGAGGATGACAGTATGTAATATAGCAAATATGGGGGATTTCCTTCTGTTTGTCTTTGAAGTACAATATTGTTCTCACTGGTTTTTTTGTTCCAATTAACTGTTTTGCTTTATTCAGTGTTCTGTTTTGATTGATTTTATTGTTTTGTTTTGGTTTGATTTTACTATACTTGATGGAATGGACAACTAATGTGAAGAAGATACATTATGGTAGCTATTGTTGTTTTCCTAGTATCCTGCTTTGGAGTTCTGTACCAATTTTGCTGCTTTGTTTTGATTGGTTTTGTTCTGTTTTGTTTTGTTGGATTTTATTATCCAACAATAAATAAATTAAATAAAAAATTTAAAAAAGAGAAAATAGAGTGAGCTCAAATAAATATCTGATGTTGAACCTCAAGGTCCTACAAAAAGAAGAGCAACTCAAGCCCAAAGCTCATACAAGAAGGAAATTATAAATCAGAGTGGAAATTAATGAAATGGGGACAAAGAGAATAACACAAAGAATCAGCGAATCAAAGAGTTGGTTCTTTGAGAGATTAAATAAAATTGACAAACCTTTAGTCAATCTTATCAAACAAGGAAAGAGAAGATTCAAACCCATACAATTAGGAATGAAAAGGGTGAAATCACAACAGAGCCTACAGAAATCCAAAAAACGTACTTCAACAACTTATATTCTAATAAAATAGAAAATGCAAAAGGGGGCTGGGGATTTAGCTCAGCGGCATAAGCACCTGCCTTGCAAGCAGGCAGTCGTGAGTTCGATCCCCAGTACCAATAAAAAAGGAAAAAGACAAAAAAAAAAAAAAAAAAAAAAAAAAAAATGGAGATTCCTAGACATATATGAACTCAGCTGATCAAAAAGATATAAAAGTTCTAGATAGACCACTATCTGTCAAAGAAATTGAAGATGTAATGAAAAACCTATCAACAGGCAACTCACTTGAAACTATTGGTGTGTCTCTCTGACACAAGCATTCTTTCCTCAATAAATATAGTTGCTCGGGGCTAGGGATTTAGCTTAGCGGCATAAGCGCCTGCCTTGCAAGCAGAGAGTCGTGAATTCGATCCCTGGTACCGATAAAAATGAAAAAGACAGTTGCTCTTAACTTCCTGTCATGGTTTATGTCTGTGTCCCCCAGGCCTCATGAGTTTGCATTGTGCGTTTGTGCATTTGCATTGTCTAGTGCTTGGATTGATGGTGTTAGTGCTACACCCACCTATGGGTGGAGCCAGGATGGATGTAATGGCAGGAAGGTGGTCCAAGCATTTGAACTCAGCCGCCATGAACTGTGGCCCAA